GGATGCACTTTAAATTTCAAATCATTTGCCCGTCGGCAGCAGAATTAAAAAAAATATATATGTATAAAATCGTCTAGGTGAGGCTAGTCGTAATTTATATAGTTGGTTATATACAGCAATATTCAATTGAACGAAAGAAGCATAAACAGTATTATAACAATCATGACAAAAACATTAATCAACGTTTGCTTAGGTTAGTTATTTTTGTCGATTCCACTCCATATAGTGCTGTTCATCACATCAAATCGTATAATATCATACTATTATGTTGACCAAAAATGTAGCTTTTTCTACCTAGATACGGCAATATTACAAGTTATAATATAATGTTTTATATATTATACGTAAAATGTGTGTATTATAGAATAGCCCATAGCTGGTACAGAATTTTACAGTTATAACATTTTGATCACGTTATATGTTTCAAAATATCATTATTATTGAAACATTAATATATTTGCAGAATGGTAACGTTTATTTACACGTCTAAGCACGCTCGATATGTACCTATTTTATATTTTTTTTTATCAGTCTACCTAGGCAAGAATACAAATATAACTTGAATTCCAATGATGCTTATAAGTAATTAAATCTACATGGCTTTTAATGGGAATTTCTGTATGTAAGGCACAATTCGTCGTGTCAACAAGTCATTAAGTAATGATTTATCGAGTTTGTTGGCTAAAGAAAAATAACATCTTCTTTAAACACGAATTTGCTCGCAATAAAAAACAATTGCACAAATTGATTAGTGAAATAATAATAATAATAATAAAAAACAACAACAAAGATAACATATTATTATTATTTATGTAACTGTAAATAAGGTATTGTCGTTTGAACGAATTACATAATATTTCCATGTCAACTGTTTGATGGAGTGTTACTACCTGTTGTAAGTACCTATGCATTACAAAAATATACAATATGTATACAGTGGCGTATATAGGAATTAATTTCGGGGGGGGGTTATAAAAAAAAATGTATTTAAGTATTATTATAAAATAACTTTATTTTAATAAAAATTATAAAAACTAGAATATTACCTATATAAATCAAATCAAATCAAAAAATCCAATTTTCGAGGTTGGTTTGCAAATTATTAATCACTTCTTCAGTGTCTATTGAAATACTGCGATGAATTGATATGAGGGCTAATCCTGTTAGTCGATTTTTACTTGTATTATGAGTTATGACTATCGCGACGCATGAGTCACACGACGGTCGGTCATTATCTTAATTACCAAGTAATACCTATTTCATATAAATTAAGTGAACAACAGAACAACTATTTTTATTTATACGCATCGCCTCGCCTGCAATTTTCATTTTTTTTTATCCCGTGTTGCGCTGTTGGGTTTTAGTTGATAAATTGATTAAAAAAATTCGTATGAGTGCCGTACCAACAAAAAATGTCGGGGGGGGGGGGTTGAACCCCTAAAACCCCCCTATATACGCCACTGTATGTATATATCTGCATACAATATAGGCTATAGCTAAATATGTTACTTGTARGCTTTGCGTGACATTTATGATGTTTTTTGTAAAAACTGAATTGCTTAAACTGCACACGCTTAATGGTTAAATTCAAAAATGAAAAATAAAGTTCTSTTTAATTTATTTTGTAAAATACTGCGAAATTCACATAGCCGCTATGATTTTGAATTTTATCCATTAAATTACATTACGTGATGCTTATACAATTTGTTGGGTAAACCATTAAGATACAATATACATCCTACTAATTAAGTGTTTGCGTCTATGTGGATATTTAGAGAAATATATGTGTAATAGGTACATTTATTTATTTATTTATTTTATAATATTATGTTTGTACAGATGTCATATAAATAGGTTTTAAATAAATTCTGGTTTGTTAAAGAAAGTGTCATTGGTTTTGCAACAAACTTTTTTTGAAAAGAAAAGAATCTGAAAAAAAAACCATGTAGGTATGCATAATAATCCAAAATTAAAATTGATTTAAATACAGATGGAATTTTGTAAACATAATTTTTCAAAATCCTAATATTTATTGAATTGAAAGACAATTTCGAAAGAATGAAAAACAAACTATATAATATACATGCTATTATATAATATATAATAAGAATTTGTTTAAGAATTTGCTGAGTGAGAGTTAATTTTTAACGTTTTCGTGTTATCTGTAAAATAAACTCAAATTTGGTTTTCAGAATCCATATAATAATCGTATGATATTAATAACTTATTACTAATAACATTACAATAAATTATAAGTATAATTATTTTTCGTTATATATAATAATAACGTACTTACCATTACATCATTTTGTTTCAGCTAGGTATGGCTATTTTGATAGCATGTATGTCTTACGAAAAAATCTCTGACAATTAAAAAGAAAAAATTTTCATAATCGACAGACATTCAGAGTTAGTTTAAGCATAAATTAAACAATATTTCAATTTATCAAAAACATGTTATATTTGCATTTATATATATATAATAAAATCACGTCCAATCAATGTGGACAAATAAATTTGAATTATTCATATTGTGTCCCATTATAATACGTATTAAATTGTTAAATGTACGTTATTTTAGTTTCATATTCATACGATAACTTAACAATGACCGCCGACGTTGACAAGTAAATCTGTATAATRCAGTATTACGCACATGTTGATTGCTGTCAATGCATTATTATAATATATAGGTAGGTAATATGCTTTACGATTCCACCTACAACGTGTAAAGCTGTCTCATAGTTTACTATAATCTGTGTGTAGTTTAACATGTGGCTGCATAAAGTTAGGAATYGTGAGTAAGAGAGGGTTGTTTTACCGGTTTAAGTACGCTGCAAAAATGTTGAATACTCCGGTTGTACGAGGTGAAATACTATTGTAGATTTGTAAGTAGTGTATGATGTCATACCATCATACATCATAGTCATATGATGTCAAATTGCGAAGTAAAATGGAACTATTGAACTATTATTATTATTATCTACAAATTGATGTAACAAAAATATTTGAACAAATTGATCTAAACGACAAAATACCTGGTTGTTAACTTATACTGAAGTAACGATAACCTACATAACCTATATTATAAATAATGTACCTATAACAAAATAAATATTAACAATCTGAAAACGTRTAGTAAATATAAATATATATTTTTTACTAACTGTCGCGATTAATTTACCAAACCATACAAGACTCTCGGCTATAATATTTTGCAAATAATTAATACAACTGAAATTTAAACAAATTGTTCCTTTTCTTAGTCAGATTTAATCAATAACTATTAACCGGACATAACTCAAAATATTTATCATCATTCATAGTTACTTATCTATGTGGCTATGTATGMCATTTATTAGACATGGCTAAACGAATTGTGACGGGATCAATTTGAATCATGGATAAATTTACAAACTGTTATACTTAAGAACATTGAAACTGAAATTTGTTACAACTTGTACCGGTTCAAATAATATAGGACTTAATTGACGATCCAATATCGTTACTTCCATRTAGCTACCTGTAGCGCCACTACTGATCACATTTMTGGACGTTTAATTGGTCATTAAACCTTTACAACTGCAKATACTCAGATTAATGACAATTGAATATGCAGAACACCACTGGATTCCAAGAATAAATTATGTGCTTTTATTTCTTTGACATTATAAAAATGTTTTTAATACAATTATGTTAGCAATAAATAATAATTAGCTAAATTCGTATTTTTAACAAACTTTGACTAAATTTAAATTTAAATACTAATAAAGTAATAATTATCCAGCAATAAGTAATTCTTAACCATTAAACAATACGTATATCGAGTAAACCTGGTCACCTAATAAACATAAACATAAACCTAATCATAAAGTATATTATAAGGTATTTGAGTTGTCGAACATTTTTCTGTGTTTGCACTGTTCAATATAGCCGAATAAAGTGAACTAATTATATTAGAATTGTTAATTTTTCATACAACCATAAATTGATGATATGAACTCATTAAGTATCAGCTATTTAAATTTTTCCTGGTTACACTCGTAAATAAAATATAAAATTGAGCGCGACTCGCTATTCAATCGAGCCCCAAATACTAAATAACCCTATAGGAAATAAATAAATTATGTTTTTATATTTAACAGTTGAATTYAATTAGTCTCTCGGCCGAAAAGGTCACCCCGGATTTGGATGTAATATACACTCGGTAGCAGTGAAATTTTCGAATTTTCCGTTTGGCTCGTTAAGGGCGTTGTGATGTATCCGGTATGTATTGGGATGAAAATTGCATCGGCAAACCCATGTGTTGCGTTATAATTGCTACTGGCAGCCGTTATGGCGAAATTTACACACTCATACACACAATTATACGTACAGTTGCAATCCGGAAGCGATAAAAAAATTAATTAAATTTAATATCAGTCGAAAACCTATACATTGCGCCGTTTCTCTCGACCGTGCACAATAACCGTTTGGACGTCGTGGTCGGGGACGGGCGGTSGGGTCGAGAATCGTTGCGATCSGCCGACCAGAACCGTTTTCGGTCAGAGGACTTTTCGTTGAACATAATAATATACACCGAACAGTAAGTTGCACTCTTGTCGCTTGCACTCGGTAGTCGGAAGGTTTGTATTAATATTATACCGCGGTAAACTACTTATCGGTGTACGCCGGCTGTTGCAGTGGTTGTTGCTTGCACCCGTTCACGGTCGGCGGCCAAAGACGTTATAGGAATAATACTCGCAGATGAGTAGGAAGAGGAAAAGGAAAAGGAAGACGACGACGACTACGACGTCCGCAATGTTGTTGTTTACCGTCTGCGCACGTGCGCAATGGTAAAACCGTTGCGGTAGGTCGCCGTCGCCGCCGCGATCGTCACGCACGCGGTATCCCGTCGTCGTTGTAGTCACCGTGGTCGTCGTCGTCGTCGTCGTCAAACGCTTAGCACGACCCGTGTCGCATCGTCAGTCGTCCACGTGGTGGTGTACGCTCGCTACGCCGTCGACGAGTCCGGACACGGACACGCTTAACCGCCATATAAACATAATATTATTATTTTAATTATATTCATCGTCCGTCGTTACAATAATATTATGTTATTCATAAAACATTAACGACTTAACCGCGTAACGAGAACCGCCGCCACTGCTGCGCGCGCGTCTGTTCTCGGATAAATATTTTGACCGTCTACACTGGACACGAACTGTTTTTTCCGTATTATAATATTTTTTTTTTCCCCCAATCTTCGCGATTCGAACACCGACTACGAAAATGACGACAGTTTCCGGCTCGGAACGGCTCGGTAGTATAGACACTTAAGCAGACAGATATACTGTTTAATACAACAGGTCGTGCCTTCGTGCACGAATACAGCGTAAGGCGATGGAAAAAAAACCAATCGAAATGACGACGTCTTGTCCGTGCGAGAGAAATTCGCGTGCATTGTCGAAATCTCGGTCGTGGCCGATGTTGTACACTGTGCTGGAAGAGGAAACCGTTGGTGGAGCATCCCCCGCATCCACCGCAATGGCCGTAACCGACGGACAACAGCAGCCGCAGCAACAGCATCAGCTACTTCCGGACAAGAACCGAATGGCGCGTCAGCTGCAGATGGCTGCACCAGCCGCAAACGTGGGCAGACTCCTCCGCCGGCACTATTATCCGGAAGCTGGATGGGGCTGGGTGGTGGTCGCCTGTGCTTGCATGGTGCACTTGCTTAATCACGGACTGCAACTGTCGTTCGGTGCGCTGGAGAAAGACGTGGTGCTCAGGTTCCGGGATGCCACTTACGACAGAACAGGTAAACGACGACGAATTCTCTGAAATTATTGTGTATGTACTRTATGTTTTATTTAACGTAACACATTCATTATTATTTAACTTTAAAGACTTATAACTAGTCAGCAACTCGTCGGCAGAAATTTGATTTTTTTTATTGATCTTAATATATAACTCGGCAGCAAGGGCCATTAGTTAATCTCTTAAATACTAATTACAATTTTTTGAGGTTTACACTATGTTACATTACCTTAGCAATTATAATTAAAATTATATTTTATCTATAAGTTTGTTAGTTTTAAGAAGGTTATAATTTTCGTGTTTTGATCGGGGTTTGGTCCGAGAATTGAATCTAGTGTTTCCGTCAAGTTGAGTTTTGTACAGTCCTGTTGGTATATATGACATTCTGTGATGATGTGTTTGATTGTAATCTGTGTATTGCAGGTTTTACAAATGGAACTCGTGAGTTATCCTGGTGTGTCCGATTCTTAGGCGATTTAAAGTTGTTTCGTCTTTTCGATTTAGTTTAAGAATTTGATTTTTGTTGTTCAAAAGATTCTGAATAATATTCTAATATTATTTAAAAATAAATTAAAAATGTAATTTTTCATTTAAAAGTAAAACTTATATATGATAACGATAAAAAATAGGTTAAAAGTATTTTCAAAATTTTATTGTTTTCTGAAATAACGAGTGTCATACAACGAATGGATCTTATATATATTAATATATATATAATATATATACAGGTGTCCCATGATAATATATCCATTAACCATAGTGGGRGACTCGCCGCCCGAATAAAAAATAGTTTTTGCCGTTTTATCTATAAACTAAAATAATTATTAAAAATCATGAGATTAATGTTAAAAGGTCAAAATTTTCAGAAAAATAAACTCCTTTAAAATAGGAATGATTATTTTTTCAAAAATTAAAAATAAATAAATATTAAATTAAAAAATAAAATAGATGTAACCCTTGTATATGATAGTATAATAAWAAAAAAAAATAGATTTATGATATATTTATTATCTCCGAAGATTTCGCAATGGGTAAATCCTCGCGAGACACTCTGTATATAATATTATACGTATGGCACATTGTGGGGTCTTATAAATTATTATGAAGTTGTTACATTCACAAATAGGCCTTCAAACATAATTATCGATCATGAAAATCATCACCATCACCAATAATTATCTTTCCGTATTATATAATAATATTTTTTTTGGATATATAAATCATTTTCGGGAGAACGATATTGTAAAAAAATTGGAATGTAGATTACACTATATCTTGGATTGGATTTTGTTAGCTAGAAATTAAAAAAAAAATAAGTTATCAAATCTTTTGTTCTATGATTCAAGAAATTAAACTTAAAAAAAAGATACTTCGAATTCTACTAGCACTCTTTCCTTTTCGCTCGACTTCAGATTAGATTCATAAATATTACGGTTCGATTAAATTTTTATTATATCCATTCTCCATAGCTATGATAACAAATAATAGGTACCATTGTATTATTTGTATAATGTATATAGGTTGTATTTTTAATCTAAAATTCACAATATTTATTGTTTAAAAATAATTCTGAGCGGAACTTGGAGGGTCTGAATCACAAATGTAAACAATTCATACTTCTTCTCTTAGAAACTTAATCGAAAAATTTTTTTATTCAACTGTTTATTCCTCGTGGAATTAAAGCTAGAACTATTGGACCTGTAGTGATTTGAAATAATGTTTTTTAGTACCTACCTATGCTACATATTTTTATTAAAACCATTTTAGGGAATTAATTCTTAGAATGGCTGGAACGCAAAGAGCTACAAAAATGTGTAAAAATAATAAAACGCTCTACCCTCAAATTTAATTGTTTTTTCTACATAATTATTTTGAACATTGTCGTTTTATAAATGCTTTGAATAATATGTATAAGTTAAAAATATWATTGAATGAGATGTTGAAGTACCGACACCAATGTACTATTCAATGTATAACAATATTGTAAAACGATCTCAGTAAGTTTAAGGCGTTATTGACTGCCAACATTTTTGAGTAACACATACTGTTTATTCGTTGTTGTATAATCTAAAAATAAATAAACACAATTAAAATAAAAGTAAAAAAAAAAAAAATATTGATAAAATCTTGCTAGTTAATAATCAATAATATCGTGGGTTATTCAATGTTTTTCAAAAATGAAGTGATACTTTTATAATATTTATATACTTATTTAACACAAATATTAAGTACTTCTCTTTTTAAAACAAATGTAGAATTCCAATTTAAAAAAAAGTTAAAAACACGTATTTATTTCAAATAGYTATTTCATAAACTCAAGAGGTAATTTAGGTACCATAGTTATTAGAAAAAAAATATATTATAATATCATATTAACAAGTTTGTTTTTAATAAACTAAAAGGATTATAATTTTCTTAATGTTATTAATTTKGAGTAACAGTAATTAACATATATTTTATACCAACGATTTTAATTCCTAATTAATATACAATTGGTTTCTTGAATTCTTCATTTAACTTCATACGAACAAATAACAGTTTTACACTGAAATTGTATTATTTCTTTGATTATAACCAAGATTCTACAACACTGTTACAACTACACAATGCATATTATATTGCTTATTGAACGATATATTGAATATTTACATACAAAATTATAATACATAATCCACTCTATTGTTCTACTTTCACAATACTATATCATAACAAAATCTACTTTAATATATGTACATTTAATTCCAAAAACAATAATTCTCTAGCTTCTCATCGTATTATTGTAAAATATAATATGAACTTGAAGTTATACGGTTTGGTATAAGAGRTAGCTGAATAAATATAAGTACTTTTTCTTGTTAACATTTATTATTTTATTTTATTAATAATAAATTATTGATGACTCATATATGTTAGGACAAGGACTACATTTGTGTATATACCTATATATCTATAGATGTTTGCGTGTGTTTTTTGTTTTCCAAATTTATGTGAATAGGTTGTCGATAAAGTATGTGCTTGGTAATCCGAGGAATTAAAATTTAAAATATAGTACTCTTCATACTCTAGCATAAATGTTTAGTATTAAATTATGCATATTTAAAGGTAAAATAGTAAAATAAATAAAAAATATACCATATACCTACATGATGTTAAAATATATAACTACTGTAAATTGATTTTTTTTAACGATGGATTTTTTTTTGTACAATATTTTCGAAATTGTAAAGCATATATTTGTTGTTTAATATTTTTCATATTATGATATAATTTAATATACATTGTATTTTTATTCTTCCTAATGCGAGTTTACTATTCCKCAAAACAATAATCCAACGAAAAATCGTATGGACTTTATTATTTACAGAAAAAATAAATGCATATTTTAAAATTTGTTTAGGGCGAATAAACGTCTTAGTCATAATATTATTTTAATTTACATTATTACATTTTTTTGTCAAAAAACACACAATATAATATTTCTTAATATCAATGATGTTTTAAATTTATAACTATTTACGCAGTGTATGATATAATATTTACGAATTTTACTTATAAGCCATTTATATTGCTTGATATTTCATAGAATTCCTTCATTTATCAAGGGTTCGGTTTATTACATAATATTTTAYTATTAGTATCCATTTGAGAATATTTCCCAGTACACATCCGAATGTGCCTGCTAATATTGTTTTGTAAAAATAAATTGGGTTGGAAAAGTCAACGTTCACAAATAATTGCATCGTGCGCCAACGTTTATTCAAAACTAATTTAAATTTACTCTCATTTACAAGTAATTAATTACCAGCCATAATGTGTATATATTTAAATTAGTTGAATTATGTAGATTCAGTCGGTACATATTATATTAAAAATAATCGCTCAACATTRCATCGTACCTATACATACTATGAAATCTAAAACACACATAGGGTAGGCATGTTCTTTTTATTATCTACCTATATCGAAGATATAATAGATAATCAATCTTAAAAATGTTTAGAAGTAATGAGTCTAGCTAATAAATTTAAAAAAAACAAACAAAAGTACAAAACAAAAACATATTAATGACGATATTACCATAAATGCAGTATTAGGTATATACGATGTACTTAGTTGTGAAAAATTTCGAACGCGTTAACAGAGATTTATAATAATAAAYTATACACACACTTACATTATTATGAAATTTTTTGAATTATTAATATTATAATATGCTATGAGTTATCATCGTCGTCARTCTTGGGATCGCATATTATATCTATAAATTATTTAAATGCGATTTCTCAAAATGTGTGAATGTTTCTTGTTTTTCGTATGTGGACAAGATTAACACGCGTTTCACTTAATTATACACGGRTAGTTCAAAGGGACTAAGTATCGTGTAAACCCGTTTTTAATTCGCATTAAATAGGCAATTCGATTCGTCAAATCTCACACCGGGATTAAATTCGCACGCATTGAGTTAATTCGTATTATCGAAACGCATATTATATTATATAATTATTGTTATACGTGTAAACATGGTACCTGCGTGCTATTATATATACATATACATATATATATGCTTATAAAAGCGAGAGCTTACAATTAATTTTATTGCATCGGGTGTTTGAATTAAACGCAGTAGCTTAAAATCGTATATACCACGGTATAATAACACGTGCATAAATACTTTTTATTAATTTTATTGTAAATAAATATGTTCTACTCAAATTATTTATCGTCGGTATGCACGTGTATGTTCTTGTCGTGTAATTAATTCAGTTTTTTTTTTTATAAGGTAATTCAAAATATGAAAAATGAACACAATGCAATATAATAATATATTATTATTATATTAAAGTTTCCTGCATATCAAAACCATTTTCATCATTCTACATTCACTAGGTATATACCTATAATGTGTATCAAATTTATTATAGGGTGTTATAATACATTTATCAAAATTATAGTTTTTTCATCGCCAAGTTCTTGTACACTGACGAAATATTATAACTATTT